TAACAGCACTGTCCATCTCATTTGTTGAATCATTTGTTGTGGTCGTTGGCATAGACAATGGTACATAATTTTCATCTTGATCACACTTGTCGAAATCTATATCGTGGAGTTGACTTTGTCTAATAAAATTGTGCAGTGCAATGCAAGTCACAATGATTTTGCTTTGTTTCTGTTGTGGATCACTAGGCAAGTGAAAGAAAATCCTCCACTTGTTCTTAAAGACTCCAAAACACCTCTTGATGACATTTCTAAGTGAAGAATGGGTGAAATTGAAGTGTTCCTTTTTTCCTCTAGGCACTGTGCCATCACGGTACTCCTGGAAATGATAGGTTAAACCCTTGTATGGTGCAAGATAACCCGGTCTATTTGGTGGAGGTTTTGGAAACTTGTCACCAAATCTGGATCGGGCATCATTGAAGACCCTCATGTCATGCACTGATCCTGGCCAACCAGCTAGGACAAATGTGAATCTCATATCAAAGTCACACACACACATCACATTCTGACTCTTCTCCTTATGTCTATTCCTATGCTAGGCAGCAGTGGCAACTGGTACCATAACTTGTATCTGTGTCCCATCTATTGCACCAATGCAATTATCCATAAATGGTGCATACTTTCTAGATCTTAATTTGGAATGCATAATTCTGAATTGACGATCTACTGGCCTGATGATGTCTTTTGCAAGCTTGATCAGACATTCCAAAACCTTATCAAACTTCCTTACAATTGTCTCCAATGACCTAACAAATCTGTTTTCTGCTTGGCTGATAGATTGAGGGGAACCTACTATCCAAAGAAACAGGCCTAGAGACTCAACTGATGATATTCTTTTAGTGGACTTCAAACCATACGAATCAACAAGCACACTATGCAATTTCTCAAACACTGGTCTGTGCATTCTAAACATGTTGTAACAAGCAGTTTCGTTGCCTAGTGTTGTCATAACCCAATCATGCCCAGCCTGTATTGGTACTCTTCTAGGTCCTTTGTTACCGTAAGAGTCCAAGTAGTACATACCAATCATGTAGGCCATCTGCATCATTCTTCTCTTCCTTTTTTGATGCATGAACAACATCAGTGCTTCATCATCACTGCTGCTCCCATCATCACTGCTGATTCCATCAATACTGCTGTCATCATCCTGAAACATGCAAACATTAGTACAACTTCTTCATTATGCACCACCTCTTCAACTTGAAAACATTAGTACATGCAAATAAAACACACTAACATGCATTCATCATTTAACAAGGTCACACAGCACAGGTCCATTACATAGGTATATTATTAAAAGGACAATCAAGATAACTACTACACTAGTACAACTTCTTCATCATGCACCACCTCTTTAACCAAGTCAATCTAGCGTCATCACTTGAAATGTTCTCAAATATGACTCTGTTTGCCTCATATGCAAACAGTTGAGTTGCCATGAAGTACTCAACACTTGTTTCTTCTGCACCATATTGAACTGCCAACAGTTGACAATGAGTAATGGATTCCTTAGTGTTGTTGATTTCTTCTCTTTTGCCTTGTCCTTTGCTTCCTGCCTTTTGTTTGCATATTCAGTGATAATGTCAGAAGTGTTCTCACTATTCATAGTATTGATGAGCCCTGTCATAAGTTTCACCATTGGGCTCTTGTGTTTGTTTCCTGGGCTTGAAGCTGTCTGTTCACCGCCGCTGCTCCCCCTCTTCTTGCTGGTGGTGCTCATTGGACTCTGCTCATTTCCATCATCGGCAACATCATATTCTTCTTCTTCATCTTCAATTAAGGGCACATAAGCTGATGATCCATCAACTGCCACACCTTGAAATAACTCTATTAGCATATCCAAATACTCAGGATTGCCACCCTTGAATTTTCTGACATCTGGTCTCTCCTGCAACATTAGTTAGGTAATTAGGACAAGGCTAAATAATGTAACCAAGTGTGAGCAATTCAGATGTAGTTTGCAGAATAATGTATGTACCTTCATTATTTTTTTCAACCACGCATTTGATGCAGTTATAGCTCCATCTCCAGTTCGGCCACAACCAGTTTGCTGCCCCAACCACAACCAAGCAGTGTAGTAGCTCTTGAGTCTAGTTATGCAATTTTTGAATTGCTTGGTACTATGCAGGAGGCCAGCACGCTGATAAAACTTTTTCTTCATGTTATTGTACGCTCTACTTGTCCAAACACCATTCACATAGTGCCCATCCCTAGCTTCCTCACAGGCGATGTTACAAAATACAGTAATATGTGCTTCTATCCAATCAGCCTTGGCAATGTTTTTGTAAACAAAAAATAACAAGCACACAATTCAAACAAAAGTAGAATCAAGCTGTTTCAAATTCTACACCAACGTATACCATTATACACACAATTAGCTAGCACAAAAATAAGATGAATTTGCACCCTGGGACAAAAAAAGAACTATGTACTAGTGCAATATACCATTGTGCAGTGCAATATAACAATAAAAAATATACTAGTGCTGCCCAGCAGCAGTAGCAGCAACATTGTTTACCATTATGAAGTCCAATATACCAATCAAAAATATACCTCTCCAAAAGCATTGTGGTCATCTTCATCTTCAAAGCCTTCATTCTCGTCGACATCTTCTGAAGACGCAGCAGTTGACGACACACGTTGCTTCCCCGCACATTTTTCTCTACTACCGGCCGCTGAGGACCCATTGCCTCGACCTACGTCGCGTCCGGTGACCTGGGACAAGGTCCTGCCATGCCCTATGACGCCTCCCTCAACGGCAGCTGCGTCCGGGACGACGAACAAATGCAGGTGAGAGCCGCCTCGGCCTCCGATGTTCAGAGACCGGCTGCGGCCTCCTCCGCCCTGGGGCACGGGCCTCCCGCGACCAGGTCCAACCGGAGGAAGGCCATGACCGGCCGACTGGTCAAAGAGGAGTTGCCGGTACGAGCCCAACTCCGGGAAGACGTCGACGTTGCTGTTGAGATCCAAGAAACCCATTCCCCTCCCGAGATTTCCACCGGCGGATGAGCCTTCGGGTGCCTGTTGAGACGAGGGGAATTGAGAGAAGAAGGGGATCTCGTCCTCCTCATCGGCCATGGCGGCGGCGGTTGAGGGTGCCGGCGGCGGCGGCGATTGGGGCGAGGTAGGGAAGGAGCGAGGCGAGGAGGAGGGGAACGAGCGGGGCGGGGTTCGTGCGGGGCGATGCGGGGTAGGTGCGTCCAGATCGATAAGTCCCAATAAGTTCCTCCCGGAGAGTCTTTTTTGGTAAGTCCCAAATGACCCCATAAGTCCCAAAAGTCCCTATAAGTCCCTCCTATTTGGTTTAGATGGGACTTATAGGGACTTTTTTAAGTCCTTAAACCAATAAGTCCCTGGAAACAAACACCCTCTTAATCTATATGAGCACTTAATGCGATAAATAGCTGTCGCCTGGTTTTACCCTGATTTTCCAAAATTAATTGGATAACAATCTTCTTCTTAAATTTCTTTGCAGGAAACTTTTAATCTATTTATCATCAATCATAGCAGTACAGCGAACACAAAAAATAAGAAAAATTTACATCTAGATTCATAGACCACCGAACGATGACTATAAGTACTGGAAAGAGTCGTCGTCGTCTCGTTTTTCTGACCAGGACACAGACCCTAACAAAACTAAAAATATATATACAAACAGAGCCCTCCCTTCGGAAAGGGCCAGGATCCATTGCGCCCCCCATGACCCTAAGGCCACAGAAGACTAGGCAAATCGGCGGCGGCGCCCACGGGAGGCAGAAACCCTAGCTGCCTTGTTCGCTTGGAGGAGAGGCGAAGGGGTAAACCTCCCTCACGCACAATCTTCTTCTTAATCTTTTTTGTTGACATCCAAGTACTCTTTATTTCAAGGTGATCACTATAGTATTTTTTACACGAGTATCAACGATCTCTACGGATGGACTTCCATCCATCTGGTGTACACCTTCCTTCTAGCTGGTGTGGCTAAATCATGGGTAGCATAATTAGTCTCTCTAGCAGCATGCTGAAAAATAATATGCGGTAAGTCACACGCAATGTGATATATATCATAAAAGATGCCGACGATAGACCAAAAAGCGATACTCATTCTTCATTGTCTCTATCACATCAATATTGTCGGACTTCATCTCTATGCGATCACACGAGACTGTAGTTGCCGAACTGAGACCAAACCGTAAGGCCAGTGCCTCGGCGGTAAGCACGTCTCCGCATCAATCGGTTTCTTCGTTTACTGCCGCGACGAATCTGCCATTTGAGCTTCTGACGACGGTTTGTAAAAATGTATGAATGCACCAAATTTCCCCTTAGACCATCTGCTTAAGGTGTGCCGTAATCATCACGCCGCATACAACATGTGCCGATGGAGAGAGACACCACTCTTTAAGACCCCCATCGAATTGCCCAGACAACCGACCATAACTGCGTCTCAGAGAGCCTTTACGCATCCGATGCGTCCCCATATATGGAAGTATTTCTCATCGAAGGAATCCAGTGCCATCTTTCTTATCCTGCACACCTTCCTTGATACACCCATGTATCTGCGAAAGGCAATACACAACAAAAATGACCGCATCTGCTGCAGCACAGTGCAAGCTCATCTCTCCCATATAATTTCTTTTTTTTAGGGTCTCTCCCATATAATCTCTTGCTAATACACAAGGTAAGTATTAACTTTTCCGCAAAAAAGGTAAGTATTAACTGCCTGCCTGCCTTGGCTGGGCTGGTATGAGTAAAAGCTCTCGATATTCCAGATATCCCTCTGGCGCAGGTGCTCTCATGCAGCAAAGAAAAATCAACTTAAATCGCGGTGTACGCGCTGCCGTTAACACTTTCCTAATTAATTAATTCATTGTTTTTCGCCAAAGTTTGCTGCAAGCCTGCGAATATATATATCCCTCCGCCCCTAGCTGCGCTTTCCGAAGCACCGAACCGAACAAAGGCAGGCACTCGTATTTGTTTAAGGTTGGTGCCGAGCGAGGTCGACGGAGGCGGAGAAGAAGGCGGCCATGGAGGAGGCGAGAGGGAAGGAGACGACGGAGGGGGTGGCCGCCGATGTGAGCCTGAAGGATCTGTCCAGGAGGCTCGAAGACTTCGCAAAGGAGAGGGACTGGGAGAAGCACCACAGCCCAAGGAACCTTCTGCTCGCCATGGTTTGCATCCTCTTTCTTCCTCTCTTTCCCTCTCCTTCGTTTATTTCTGTATGGCGCTGATCCTCTCTTTTGTCGCGTGTTGATCTTTCTGTGTTTTGTCAACACGTAGTCCATCGGAAATCTTAGGGTTGTTCTATTAATTTTCCTTTCGTTTTGTGCAAAGTAAGTTTCGATTTCTTACTCATGGTATCATAGGCTACTCTGTTTTTATCGAAATGGAAACTGATGCACGGCAGCGGCGTTTTAACTTTTATTTTAGGGCGTGACACTTCCGGATTATAGTTCCTCTAGAATTTGTTTTGTAGACTGCATTTGACCCCAAAGTAAATAGTAACTATGGGGATTTTTTACACCCAGGAGAATTATTTGTTTATTTTTATACATTAGATCCAATGTGATTTTTATGGCTTTCTGGATCCTTGATAGTGGAGTTCCAGAAGGTGTGTATTATAACGTGTTCGGTCTTTGACTACTGTAGAAGCATATTTAGCTGCAATTGCAAGTCTCAGGGTGCATTGTATCCGCTAGTTACTAGTCAGAATCTTTTAAAATAATGACAAGGCATCATCGATATTTGAAACAACACATGCACATGATCTAACAATGTCTTCATCAGTTTAAAGTATTGAGCTGCTTCTAGGTTGTGCTACTAAACAACTAAAGGTAGTAACGCTTCATTCTGAAGCCATCACAGGTCATTCTTGACCAATCCCTTTTTTGTGTATGTTGTGGTGCGCTCCCTTTTGACCAACCATTCAATTGGATTACTTTGCACCTGATATTTGCTAACTGTCGCAGCTAAATATTCTTGAGACCTATCCATTTTGTTCATTGCGAGTAATTCATTGTTTGTGGACGGCGAACATGTAGCTTTGGAGTGGTCACAGTTCACCTCAGGTTCTCATCTACCTCGGACATGTACCACATGATCATCAGATATTTTTTGAACTCGTGGGTCGTGGCCAAGGGTGCAGCTTTCATGCTTAGCATCTTGGATGCGACCTGGTGCAACGTTCGTTGACCCCTGGAACGAATTTCATACGTCAACCGTCAAAGCGACGCAAAATTCTGGTGTCTAACGTGTTTATACCGGTACAATTCAGACTAGCCAACACCCCTGTCCAACTTCTCACTGAATTTTCTGAAGCAGGAATGTGATTCAGTGCCAAGCTTTTCTATTCCATAAAAGCACGCCTCCTGTTCCTGTCTCAAGGCGAAGGGAATTTTGGTCTTGCAGAACTAATTCTGCACTACACTTTGCAGTTCATCTCTCAGAAATGAGATGCTTAGATCGATCCATGACTTAACAGCATCGGCAGATGTTGTTCACGTGCCGTTCTGTCACCGTGTTCGGTCTGTCCGGGACGTGCTCGAGCAAGACTAGACATTTTGCACGGCGCTGCAGGATCAGGCTTGGACCGGATCAGATTTTTTTTTTCTATTTTCATCACGTAGTGCGATACGATAGAGCTTGCTTGATCTGTTATTTTCTATACTTGTTCTTACCTGAAGATGTGTTGTTGTGCAGGTCGGCGAGGTCGGGGAGCTGTCGGAGCTGTTCATGTGGAAAGGCGAGGTGCAGAAGGGCTTGCCTGGCTGGGAGGAGAGGGAGAAGGAGCACCTCGGCGAGGAGCTCTCCGACGTGCTGCTCTACCTGATCCGTCTCTCCGACATGTGCGGCGTCGACCTCGGTGACGCGGCCCTGAAGAAGATCGTGAAGAACGCCGTCAAGTACCCGGCGCCGTCAAAGAGCGCCTGATGAGCGAACGCCTAATATGATCTGCGGAGGGATTGTCTACTTTTTTGCAGTTTGAGAACGTGAACTTCCGGCAAACTTGTGGTCGGTTGGGTCAAGTTAAATTGTGATAGTTTCAGATTGTGGCGTACGCCAGACAATATAAGTTACTACCCTGAATTTGCCATGAAATTCGCCGTACAGCCATTGTCCACGGCAGATACCGAGTGCGGTGCTGGTCTTGTTTAGGGCGTCTTTGGTTACTTGCATGGTTTTTCCCCATTTGCATACTTGTCTTAGTTTAGCCTCGCTGAGCAAACGCAGATGAAAAACCAACATCTGCACTTAGTTTGGTTGCCTGCATGTCCTCTTCCTGCATCGTAACGATGCCTCTACGCACTGCGTTTGGTTGCTTGCATTGTACTCCCTCCGGTCCTTTTTACCTTGCGCATAACACAAAGCCCGGATACCAAGGAGACGCAGCCATGCAAAAAACTGGACAATTTTACCCCCACAACAGTGTGATCTGTGTATACGGATATCCTGCTGAAAAATAATTGCGGACGCCTTGATTGGCTGTCCTCCTTTGACTCCTCGTAGCGCACGCCCCTGCATGCATGCTCTGCATGCCAATTGATTAGTGACGGGCGCTAATTAAGGGATGGGATGGAAAGGGCAGCGGCATGGATGGAAAGACTAGCTGCGGTGGCTTAGTACGCAGACTATTAAGGGAAAAATTGGAAAATTTTATACGCAGACTATTGAGGACCGGAGGGAGTATGTGCTAACACGGTTGCACGTTGTTTGGTTAAATACGAGCATAGAGTTGTGTTCATCTTGTACCCTACTTGGTGAGCTTGCCAATACTACCACACCTTACACACGATCACACCGAGCACACCAACGCCAACTGTTATGACGATGAACTGGACGAAAATGATGGAAGTTTTTCAGCCCTAACGGTCGATCCACCTTCTTGCCAACCTCAACCTTGTTGCATGAATGCTCTCGCACATACTTGGAGTAAGCATCTTCTGCCGCCTGCCTAGTCTTAAACCCTCCTCCGTGGTTGCTGTCGTTGTACCCTGAAACTTGTTTGTTGCAAGCTTCCCATGAACTGTAAACCCCTTGAACCCTACCTTCGAACACCACATACCACTTTCCCTCGCAGTGCAAACGAGCAATAAGTTCAAGCAACAAGCATTGGAACACACAAACACCAAGCAATGAAGAACTGTAGGAGCAAGCAATGGAGCAGAAGAGCATTAGTAAGCATGCATGATCATAACAAGTTCAACCTAGCACTACTTTGGTGTCATCCTACCACCATATCCAAAAGAGGGTGTCATCCTATCACCGCAAGTTCGTGATCACCGCGAGGATCACCGTGAGGGGTTAGTATATACCACATCACCAAAGTATACACACCATAAGATTGTTTTCAAGCCCTAACTACACAAAATATACGTCGACATCGTCATCGTCGTCCTTGTCGCCATCGCCGTCGAGGATCACACACGCCGTCACCACCAGTACAAGCAACACTAGTAGTAGTGCTTGCTCAGTCGGGTCCTCAGCCAGAGCACCCTCTGGGCTACTCCCAAGGCAATAATCCCAACACCATGGGCTTTGTTGCCAGCAGGTGGCTGAGAGCCACCATTGGAGCCTCTGGGCTGAAGCCAATCTGCTCCATGACGATGTTGTATAGCTGAGGGTGGACATCCACACTCTTGCTCTCCCTGATGGCGGTGCCCACCTCCTTCACTGCCTCAGTCATGCTGCTGAAGACGCTCGGTGAAGGAAATATGCCCTAGAGGCAATAATAAAGTTGTTATTCTATATTTCCTTATTCATGATAAAGGTTTGTTATTCATGCTAGAATTGTATTGATCGGAAACTTAAATACATGTGTGGATACGTAAACAAATACCATGTCCGTAGTGAGCCTCTACTAGACTAGCTCTTTGATCAAAGATGGTTAAGGTTTCCTAACCATAGACATGTGTTGTCACTTGATAACTGGATCACATCATTAGGAGAATGATGTGATGGACAAGACCAATCCGTTAGCTTAGCATATGATCGTTCAGTTTATTGTTATTGCTTTCTTAATGTCAAATACATATTCCTTCGACTATGAGATCATGCAACTCCTGAATAGCGGAGGAATTCCTTGTGTACTATCAAACGTCACAACGTAACTGGGTGATCATAAATATGCTCTACAGGTATCTCCGAAGGTGTTTGTTGAGTTGGCATGGATCAAGATTGGGATTTGTCACTTCAAGTATTGGAGAGGTATCTCTGGGCCCTCTCGGTAATACACATCATAATAAGCTTGCAAACAAATGACTAAGGAGTTAGTTATGAGATGATGTATTACGAAACAAGTGAAGAGACTTGCCGGTAACGAGATTGAACCAGGTATGAAGATGCAACGATCGAATCTCGGGCAAGTAACATACCGACAAAGGGAATTGCATATGTTGTCATAACGGTTCGACCAATAAAGCTCTTCGTAGAATATGTAGGAACTGTCGGGGAACGTAGTAATTTCAAAAAATTTCCTACGCACACGCAAGATCATGGTGATGATATAGCAACAAGGGGAGAGTGTTGTCTATGTACCCTCGTAGACCGAAGCGGAAGCGTTGACGCAACGTAGAGGAAGTAGTCGTACGTCCTCCGGTTCAACCGATCCAAGTACCATTACTCCGGCACCTCCGAGTTCTTGACACGCGTACAGCTCGATGACGCACCCTCGATCTCCGATCCAGCAGAGGCGCCGAGGGGGAGTTCCGTCAGCACGACGGCGTGGTGATGATCTTGATGTTCTCCTGTTGCAGGGCTTCGCCTAAGCACCGCTACAATATGACCGAGGTGTAATATCGTGGAGGGGGGCACCGCACACGGCTAAGGAACGATCAATGATCAACTTCTGTGTTCTAGGGTGCCCCCTACCCCCGTATATAAAGGAGGGAGGGAGGAGGTGGCCGGCCCTAGGGGGGGCGCGCCATGAGGAGGGGGAAACCTACTCCAAGTAGGTTTCCCTCTCTTTTCCTTATCTTATTTGGAGGGGGAAGGAAAGAGTACTAGTATTAGGAAGTAGTACTAGTAGTAGTAATAGGAAGAGGGGGAAGGAGAAAGGAAAGGGGGGCCGGCCCCCCTCCCCAATTCGGATTGGGCTTGGGGGGGCGCGCCCCCTTCCCTTGCTCCTTCTCTCTTCCTCCTACATGGGCCCAATAAGGCCCATATACCTCCCGGGGGGTTCCGGTAACCTTCCGGGGCTCCAAACTTCTCCGGAACCTTTCCGGTGTCCAAATATATCCGTCCAATATATCAATCTTTATGTCTCGACCATTTCGAGACTCCTCGTCATGTCCGTAATCATATCCGGGACTCCGAACAACCTTCGGTACATCAAAATACATAAACTCATAATATAACTGTCATCGAAACCTTAAGCGTGCGGACCCTACGGTTCGAGAACGATGTAGACATGACTGAGACACATCTCTGGTCAATAACCAATAGCGGGACCTGGATGCCCATATTGGTTCCTACATATTCTACGAAGATCTTTATCGGTCAAACCGCATAACAACATACGTTGTTCCCTTTGTCATCGGTATGTTACTTGTCCGAGATTCGATCGTCGGTATCCAATACCTAGTTCAATCTCGTTATCGACAAGTCTCTTTACTCGTTCTGTAATACTTCATATTATAACTAAATCATTAGTTACATGCTTGCAAGGCTTAGGTGATGAGCATTGCCGAGAGGGCCCAGAGATACCTCTCCGACAATCGGAGTGACAAAACCTAATCTCGAATTATGCTAACTCAACATGTACCTTCGGAGACACCTGTAATACTCCTTTATAATCACCCAGTTACGTTGTGACGTTTGGTAGTACCCAAAGTGTTCCTCCGGTAAACGGGAGTTACACAATTCTCATAGTTACAGGAACATGTATAAGTCATGAAGGAAGCAATAGCAGAATACTAAACGATCAAGTGCTAAGCTAACGGGATGGGTCATGTCAATCACCTCATTCTCCTAATGATGTGATCCCATTAATCAAATGACAACACATGTCAATGGTTAGGAAACATAACCATCTTTGATTAATGAGCTAGTCAAGTAGAGGCATACTAGTGACTATATGTTTGTCTATGTATTCACACATGTATCATGTTTCCGGTTAATACAATTCTAGCATGAATAATAAACATTTATCATGATATGAGGAAATAAATAATAACTTTATTATTGCCTCTAGGGCATATTTCCTTCAGTCCCCCACTTGCACTAGAGTCAATAATCTAGATTACATAGTAATGATTCTAACACCCATGGAGTCTTGGTGCTGATCATGTTTTGCTCGTGAGAGAGGCTTAGTCAACGGGTCTGCAACATTCAGATCCGTATGTATCTTGCAAATCTCTATGTCTCCCACTTGGACTTGGTCCCGAATGGAATTGAAGCGTCTCTTGATGTGCTTGGTCCTCTTGTGAAATCTGGATTCCTTTGCCAAGGCAATTGCACCAGTATTGTCACAGAAGATCTTCATTGGTCCCGATGCACTAGGTATGACACCTAGATCGGAAATGAACTCCTTCATCCAGACTCCTTCATTTGCTGCTTCAGAAGCAGCTATGTACTCCGCTTCACATGTAGATCCTGCCACGACGCTTTGTTTAGAACTGCACCAACTTACAGCTCCACCGTTTAATAAAAACACGTATCCGGTCTGCGATTTAGAATTGTCCGGATCAGTGTCAAAGCTTGCATCGACGTAACCATTTACGACTAGCTCTTTGTCACCTCCATATACGAGAAACATATCCTTAGTCCTTTTCAGGTATTTCAGGATGTTCTTGACCGCTGTCCAGTGATCCACTCCTGGATTACTTTGGTACCTACCTGCCAAGCTTATTGCTAAGCATACGTCAGGTCTGGTACACAGCATTGCATACATGATAGAGCCTATGGCTGAAGCATAGGGAACATCTTTCATTTTC